TCGACAGTTATGCAAACCCTCGACTTCGTCTCGGGTTTGCATAACTGTCTCGAATTCTCCCAACCCCTCTCGTGTTTATATCAGGCTATGCAAACACGGAAAACGTTTTCTATTGCTTAAGTGCATGAGTTATATTACATGAAAAATTTGTTACCAAACAGCAGATATATTTATAAACAAACTAAAATTTATCAGTTTCTAATACTGCTCCATTGTTCATTATCTAAAAAAATAATAAAAATCATAATAATTACATTTCTTGGAAGCCTAATGAAACTATAAATTAGAACTAAAATATCAAAGAGCAAGCTCGCAACATTGGAGTCAAAACTATTCCTATCATATAAATTTATCTAGCGCGTCCGATCCTTAAGCCTTGGAGCGGGTGATCAAAACAAAAACAAACAAGTTTTGCATTCTCTGTTCAGGAAGTGGACCGAAATTTGAAACATCGGCATGCAAACAAGAAATCTAAGTAACAGAAGTTAGAAATACACAAAGTGTTGAAAACAGTTAACTAAAGCGAAAAGGGACAGAATTGAGAGCTACTGTACCTAACTTAAATTAATTTTAAAGCGCGCCAAACGTATCCGGTACGTTTTAGGGTGACGAGTTTTGCGGATAATTATTTAAGCAATAACAGTCCCACAACGCGTTTTACTCCATCGAAGAAATCAGAAAAACATTTTTTTACCTCTCCTGTGTGCATTCTTTTGTGTTCTACCAACCGGATTTCCTTAGAAAACGATTTTCCGCAACGCTTGTAATCACACACGTGGACATTTGCCCGGGCCGCCATTTTGTTTATGTTTGCCTGCTCCGCTGTACAAGAGATTGCGTGTTCAATTTACCCACAATGCTACAGTAGAGCGCATTTTCAATATGGCGACCAGGTGGAGGCAAGAAAATTTAAACTTAGAGAACGCATATTAAACATGGCTGAACCGGATAATCAGGAACACCATTATCGCCAACAGCCTACAACAAGAGACGACTACATCGCGTTCGCCCAAGCAAACGCGAATTATTGTTATCAGTTATCGTTATGGTGGTGGAATGTTTACAACGGCTACAATCAGTCTTGGGGCAGTCAGCTTTCAGATCAGAATTGTGACTGTGAATGTGCAGAAAGATCTGTGACTGTCAGATGCGACTGTGACTACTGGCAGGGTGAAGATCAGAGTGATCCCCGTTTGCAAAAAGAGAATTCATGCAGAGACTGTCCTGGTCATCAAATGTCATCGTCTTTTAGTTCACATTGTGCTAGTAAAAGTGGGAGCTCACATTTTCCTTGGTGTCCCTGTGATGAAATATTTACGGGAATTGATAATGATAAATATGGTGCCTGCAATAATACATATGAGGATTGTGAAGATGATGATGATGTTGTTGTTGATGATGGTGATGATGATGATGATGATGATGATGATGATGATGGTGATGATGATGTTGATGATGACAATAATCATGATGAAGATGATGAGGATGAGCATATTTATTCCAACAATGAAGACGATTATTATGCCAGTGATAATAGTGGTAGTGATGGCAATGACAGTGACACAAATATGGAAGTTGATGACAATTTCAGAAAATTCTTAGAACAATCAGAGAGGCACAGACAAGAAAGGGAGCAAAGTAAGTTTTGCTAGCATATACATGTAAGACACTTTTTGCATGGACTAACTGTTTTCCCATGTGTTCATTGGTCAAAAGCTATGATCTTTCAGACTGCAGAATAATGCAGTGATGTCAAAAATTTGTTTTTCCCTGTCTTGCAAACAAATTTCCAAGACACTTTGGTGGCAGAAATTGATTGAAACTTTCAGTAAAACATTATAATGATTATACATTGTCTATTTAACAATATTATTTTTCCCTGAGAATGCATTGGATATGCGATGGTAGATAGTCAACAAGATGGGAAGGACCTACCGGTAGTTGGGTATTGTCATCTCACAGCTAGTTATTTGTTGTTGATACTCTCTTTGTGAAATGAACAGGCCGTAGATAAGTTTTGGTGAGTGGCTTTGAGATAGCGTGAAGAACTAATGCTTGTCTTCTTTGTAGCTGTTTGAGGAATTTTTCCTTTAAGGTATTAGATCTGCTATAAACCCTTTGATTTGAAAAATATTTATTTCTCAAATGATTAAAAATTTTGCAGAATAAAAATTACACTGGCCTATCAAGCGAGAGCTGAGCTTTCAGAAAATTGATATCCGAGGTGTCAATTTCCGATTTATCTCGCATGCTCCAAAATTCAATAATTCCGTATATCTGGCTTTCTCTCGATCGCTAGGAATAAAAAAAATGGAACTGACTTCTACTTAGTTTGTTCCTTTAACTTTAAATTCCTGGCAGTAGCCAGTAAATTTTTCCTGAGATATAGAGGTAGAATTTTTTTGTAATGCCTTATAACTTCAGGCCACCGCCAAAATTCCAAAATATTCGGGAATTGCTGGGAATTTCATACATTTTTCCTTAACATTATGTGAATAAACCTTGTAAGTTTCAACACGGTATTATAAATCCTCATCTTTTTACATCAATCTGTTTTAAGTGCACTCCAACTTGGCCACAAAATTGCCCTTAATTCACCCTTTTTGTCGTGCTGCACTGTTTTCTTTGTTGCCATCTTCAATTCTTACAAATAAATCACTGTTCTTAATGTTTGTTGTGACACTGACCCGATTGTAGCCACAAAGGTGGCAAGAAAAAACGAAAATCTTCGTTTGAACTCCTTACATGACGTGCTCTCAATTTTGCATCGTACACAATGTTTTATTCTTAGCAACGAGCTAATTTGCATAATAGATCATTAAACTGCGGCCTTATCTGTCATCGACCTTGCAAGGATCACATATCTAATGCGACTCTAGAAGGCTTTTTACAGCCATAGAAATGATTTAGAAATATCAAAACAATTGTACTTCATTTGGGGAAGCAAAATGTAAGCGAATTTTGCTATAATTTGCCCTGACTTACTTGAAACTCATAACGCGTTTTTGCGTGTTGGGTTGTGAAAATTGCAACATTTCTGTCAACAAAAGAAAGTACGCATCAGATTAATTTCAGCCCTGTGACTATAAATATTTCCAAAAAAGCGCTCTTAGATACTAACTTTGGCCTTCGTTTTCTCGGCTTATATTTAACGAAAATGCTTCATTTTGGGAATTTAAGTTCAGGTTAAGAGTACATTTTCAAATAAGCAATTTTATAAGCATGATCATTTTTTGACTTTACAGCAGTTCTAATACCTTAAAAATTAAGTTTTTAAATAAATTATCCATTTTCATATTTTGATTTCCAGGAAAGCAAGAAGTGTTACAAGAGAAGGATGAATACATTGAAGGTAACTGGCTATTGAAACTAATAGGAATCTACAATCCATTGTTTGTTTTGACGTTACATTTTTGGCTCCTTTCAATTTTTTATGATGTCCCCGCAAAAATAACCAAAAAATTATTAGGTTAGTGCTCCCTGATGAATTTTTTGTGGATATCTTCCTCATAATTCTACAGGAGTATTAGTTTTTGTATACATGTATGGGTAAAGTTACTAACTAATAACCAGGGGTCTAGGGTGACCATTTTGGCAGGTATGCACACCGATCCATATTCGTACAAAATGAAGTTTTTGCTTTCCTTTCATTCATACACATATTTTGGCAGTTTACAGGCTTGTTTACCATAGAAAAAAACATTCTTTTTTAAGTTTGTACTGGAATGTTCACAAGCACAAGGCGCCTCCCCTAAATAAACATCCAAAGTGCTGAATAATTCGCACAAAATTGGAATAAGATGTTTCATTTAAATGCTAAACGAAAATTTAGTAACACATTTTTATGTTAAGAAAGATAGATAACCTCTACTGACGCTTTTATTTTTTTCCTTGTCACTCAAGAAAAATGACCACTTAAAGCTTACCTTTTTGTGCAGAAATTTGGAGTTAAAAAGCACCAGCTGGAAGAATTGTGAATTGTGTGTGCAGGATTGTGTAAATTTTCCACACGCTTAGTCCTTTGATGACTTTTGAGTTTTTCCTTCATTTCGATCATGAGCACGGAAAAGGAACAAACAATGATTATTATTGTAGTCAGCCTTTATTTATTTTTAGTTGTTATGTATCTCTAATGTTTATCATTGAAAACAATACTACATCTGTTAGGGGTAAATTTCCTGCAAAATTCTTGTTGATACCGTGCCACACGTGCACCTAATATTTTCCTTCATCTTTATCCCTCGGTTATGGTTTGCATGGTCTGTCTGGTCCATGATTTCCGACATTAAAGTAGTCCGAGATAAACTTTTTCGTCATTTATATGTAGAGAGAAAACTAAAAAATGAAGCTTTTGAATGGGAAAACTTTCCAGATATTAAAATCTTGAAAGCAATGTTAATCAGTCAGGATCGATTCTTTGTGGCGACAAATGTGTTTACACAAATTTCCCCAGTCCTCCTTTGTTTTTTGTTAAAACGCAGTGTATTGTGGGATCGTTTGAAGGCAAACATTTCGTGAATGTTTCACCACTCAAACTGTTGTATTTTTCGTGTAAAAACGATGCGGAATAACAGCGAGATGGACAGAAACAAATCTGCACAATATAAGGTCATGTCACGACACTACCAATGACTTTTATAACGGAAAATCTTTCAAAAAAAACTCCTACCGATTTCTCAAGTACATACGTGCATATTTGCGTAAAGTACACTATGCCCCTGATAACTTCAGCACAGAATTAACCTAAAACAGCAGTAGCCTCATTAAATAACATCTTCAGTGTTTTNAAACGCAGTGTATTGTGGGATCGTTTGAAGGCAAACATTTCGTGAATGTTTCACCACTCAAACTGTTGTATTTTTCGTGTAAAAACGATGCGGAATAACAGCGAGATGGACAGAAACAAATCTGCACAATACAAGGTCATGTCACGACATTACAAATGACTTTTATAACGGAAAATCTTTCAAAAAAAACTCCTACCGGTTTTTCAAGTACACACGTGCATATTTGCGTAAAGTACACCATGCCCCTGATAACTTCAGCACAGAATTGATCTAAAACAGCAATAGCCTCATTAAATAACATCTTCAGTGTTTTAAGTGACTATACACACATTTTCAACTTCAAAATGATAGTCTTTTGTACGTGTTTTTTATCTGTCCTGTTATCATGTCCAATGACAAGTACAGTACCACTCAAAAGTAAGTTGACAGTCACTTGCACCTCGATCCTCGAGACTGGAGACTCCAGGCTCCATCCTCAAAACTTTTGAGGATGCAAGAAAGTTAGTTCGGACTGGTCAAAATTTCTTTACTGCTGGCTTTGATTCTGGCAAACCCAGACGTTGTCAAAAGTGAAAACAGTTTCAGCTTGATTTACACAAACATCATCATTCCTTATTTTTTGTATCTATTAGAAAAAATGGTTCACAACGTATTTTGAACTGGCTCTGAGTACAAAATTATGCACAATTTTATTGTTTAGATCTCAACTGGTGATTGGCTTATTTCAAAATTTGTCTCATTTTTGGTCTGGGTGGCCTCAGTTCACATGGTCGCACTGTAACTCAGTTGCCAAGGGAACTGAGTTAAGTTGGGGCATTGCTGTGGCAAATAGGTTTCCTATTTAAATAGTGATTTTTTTTTTTTATATGCAATAATAATTATTATATTAGCTTGTCTGTACTCACCGCCTGGTAATCTTAAAAAAGGCACCATTCTTATAAAATGCTTACTAAAGTGGCTAGGGATGCATTTATCTAGATAAAATAATGTGTATGGAATGAATTAAAGACAGAGAATTCCCCTAGATTAGAATGTGATACAACGTATTGTTTACCTTTAACAGTTGGATCAATCCACCTCAATACAACCACAAGTGCCCCATCAGAACAACCTGGTGCCAAGAGGAAAGAAGAAATGAATGTACTTTATGGCAAACATGCCCCCCTTATAATGTCACTTGAGGCATCACTTCAGCTGAACTATGATAAGAACTGTGATATAAGACAGCCTGTTTTCTGGCCGAGCATTCCCCTGAAGTTTTGAATTTCTGATTGTGAGAGTTTGGTCTTACATGTAGCAGGCTCCCCCATTTTAACTAGGATAGTACATCAATTCTCCTCAAACAATATCAATACACAATAAGAGAAAAACATATGAGAATTAATAAATTGATAGTGAAGATAATTTTTATGTATACTGAGGTGGCAAGGCACAGAGTTAAACCTACTCTAGCAAGCCACCACATTATTTGAATTCCAAAGTTCATTAACGAAGAAACAACAGAAAAAAGCCAAAACACTGTTACTGCATGTTACAGAGACCATCAAACTTGGAAATAAAATTCTTTAAGATGACGTGCATATGGACTATCTCTTATAGCTATTACTATTGCTGTTATTTTTTGACAGTTTTATTAGTCAGTGTACAGCTACATAAAAACGGGCACAACAACTCCCATTATTGTTAGCCTGTTCACAGACACTCTATTTTCTCTTCAAAGTCGGTCGAGCGCGCGTGCTAAAACATAAACCGCAGGGGATTTATTGACCGCCAGCGCAAGCTCGCGCTCCACGCTCGTTCTCGCACGCTCGCCGATGTTTTTGAAAAGAACGAATAGAAAAATAAAACAACGTGTGTGTACAGGCTATACATTATTGTTGGCCCAACAATGCGTTGTCCGTTTGCACGGCTAAAAGTTTGACCTCTTTCATACTTTGCGCAAAAACAACACACAAAAACATGTAACAGGGTGTGCAAACGGACGCAACATGTAACATCTAACAATGTATGGAGTAACACGTTGTTGGCGGTCACCAATGTTGCGTCGGTTTGCACGGGGCTTACTATCTAAAAAGTGCAGAAGGCTTAATGGGCACCGGTTGCAGATATTTTTAAGACCGATAATAGCTGATAATGCACTTAAAAAATGTTGTGCTTCTTTTAATTATTTTTTATCCCTCCGACAGTTTCAGCGTTCAGTATATTAATAATGTGTCATAGTGTTTATTAATTTTACACTGGAATGGAATTATCAGTAGTAGGCTGGAAGAAATCGATCGAAGTGTAAACATTTTTTAGTTGGTTATTGGTGAGCTAAGCTCTGATTTGCGGACTCGTTTATTACAGTTCAAGCCTCTACATTTTGCATATAATTACAAAAAACACCTTTGCAATAAACTGGAAGAAAGCTGATGTATGCTTCAAATGAGCTTGCAATGAAATATATTTACAATTAGAATAATATATAGGAAATTATGTACATATAAAATTAGCAACATCGGCGGTTCGGATCACAGTTTGTCTTAGTTCACTTTAAAGTCTTATCATGTCCGCAATAAAACGTTTTCGTAATACTGACGTTCTTTTCAATATAGTGATATATACAAGGCACATCTGACAGTATCACTTTTTTTTTCTCTTTAAGAGAAGACGCGAATTTGGTTTTTGCATTTTTCACCAACCAGCTGGCCAAATTAACGCGTTCCTGCTGTATTTCTTTGAAATGCTTTGTAAACTGATTCGATCAACAGAAGAGTCGCTTTAATGTTTCTTTTACAGCTTGTCTTACTTCTCCCATCTTCAAACAATAGAGCAAAGGGTTTAAAGACGAGTTTAAATATACTAAAGTAACCGTAAATTCCCTGGCAAGGTATATACTAGATAGAGGTATCCCTCTTTGAGGTACTAATCCTAAGACTATATAAAAAGGGAGATAACAAACAACAAATGCCACTTGCACCCATAGTGCACTGTACACTGCCTTTCTGTATCGAGCTATATTCATTGGAGGTGCATGACTCGGCTGTCCTTGTGAAAATTGGTTTTGAACATGTATTTGATTGTGACGCAGAGTGAAGAAAATTTTTATGTAAGATAAAGTTGAGGTCACTAGGCACAGACTAAAACCTACTCTTGCAAGCCACGAAATTATTTCAATTCCAGCCACGATAAATGAAGAAACAATAGACAAAAGCCAAAAAACAATCAAACTTATGCATACTCTTTTCAAAGTTACAACTTGTCTGTATCTTAGCCCTAGCAACAGAGCAAGAAGTCTGTCCACGCATATTGCAGTTAGTGTGTACAATGACACCGAACACAAAATGATGCCTGAGATAGTTCTTGACCAATACGTGTAATGGCAAATATTCCATAGCTTGTTCACAACAGAGGTCTGATAAGTTACAGCCAAAGGCCCTACAATAATACCAACAAAGAGATCCGTTATCGCTAGGTTACGAAACAGAAGTTTGGACGGTGGGTGTAGTGAAGTCTCCTTGTGTAGAGCAACTAGGATCAGTGTGTTCCCCAGAAATGCTGCAATGGACAGAATAATATTTAGAACTGAAAGAAAGATTAGCTCGCCATGCATCCCTTCAGTGAATTGCGCTGAACAGAAAAGATCTGGAATTCTTTTCCCTTTTCCGTCTTCAGTAACATTTGTCACGTCCATTTCTGTTTCACCGCGGGTTCGGCTATGTTTAAGAGCGCGTCGTGTTAACTCTATATATGGCCGGGTAGTAAGTGCTATTATTCTATCTTTTAAGTCACTGGCTAATTTGACAGAAACTGATTCCGATAACTAAGCCCTTAACTTCTATTTCTTACCCTGTGCCAATGACCGGCTGAGCAATATGACATGTTTGATTAGTATATTAATTATAGCTGGATTCAGTATATATTGCATGCTAACGTCATGCAAGGCAGTCCTAACAGTACAAATATGTCAGCCTGTGTATTGTAATAATTTTCGGGTCTGCTGTGTCCTTCCTTGTAGAAGGAAAGCCCTAAATGCCTGTGAACTGAACAGTTTTAGGACTTTTTTTCTCTAATTTCGTCTTCAGTTACATTTTTCAAGTTCATTTCCCAGTCTTCTTTGCTCTGAGCATGCGTTCACTCGCTATTTTCGTTATATGGGTGACATGTGCTACCATTCCATCTTGTACGTAATTTACTATTTGGCGTAGACAGGGAATACCGTAAACAGCTGTTTATAAGCCCTAGGCTTATACATCTTTGTAAGGGGTTTTAGGATGGCTTGTAAACAGAGGGGCTTTTACCCGGAATAGAAAAAGCGCTTCCGGAAACAAGTGATAGCAATTGTGATCAAAATAGATTTTGCATTTATTAGTTTTATATTAACCTTCACTAAAAGTTAATGTATTTATCATGGGTTATGTAACCTTTTCTTTGGGGTGTTACATGGTATGCTGTTCTATTGCTTCATTAGCGCTAGGCTATATATATTTGAGTTGTTCTCATTTATATTCATCCGCGTCTTACAACTGTCCCTACGCCCTCAAAATTAAATACCCAGTAACCAGGGGTTTCTCTTAGACGTAGTTTTTTGCATGCTGCTATATGAAAGGTTTAGCATGTTTTGTATGTTTACTGAATCATTGTTATACGAGCATAGTTTAGATCATTTTGTAGGGCTGTTTTTCTTGCTGTAATTTTTTACATTTCCGAGTTTTCATTCTGTTTGTTGTATGATTTCCATCCATTTTGTTGATGAAGGCATAATAAAGAGGGTCGCACACGGCTCGTGTTGACACACCCCAGTTGAGGTTGCTTGTTACATGATAAATATTTTATATTCGTTTGAGCGGGGTAGCGAATTAGAATATAATAATAATTCGAATCGACTTTAACCATTCGGAGGGGGAAATGTAACTGGGTGGGGTGGGGTTATAATAAGATGATTTTGCAGTTGTTCTTGTTTACTGGTAGATGGTCCTACAACTGGGAGAAGCTTGACGTGGAGAGGCTCTTATAAGCGGCAGTTTACGGCATATGCATTCTGTTACTCAGTCGTCTTGTTTTATGACGGATTATCAATAGAGACCTTTAGATTCTAAGACAATTACGATAACGAGTACGAGATTTTCTCAATAGTAAGAAGTGCTCGCCCTTGAACCAGCGTCATTTTAGCGGGAAAACGTGGTTGCTAGCCGTCGTCACTCTACTAGGGTTTTAGCGAGAATGTCGTAGTGGCGGGAACAAGATATCAAATATTAGAAGTTTTATCATTTTGCGATCGGGAGAGGGTGTAACCTCCTTCGCTAAAGGTAACATTGCTAACTTTTCGAGAGAAAAATTGTAAAATGAAGTTTTCCAGGGAGTCTATATTTTGAGAATACGCGAAAAAACTATTAATCAAATCTCGCGGTATTCGTAGACGACCTCGTTCTTGAATCTTAATGTCTCTTATACATTTAGCCGGCAAAAACGAAAGAACGGAGTTGAGCACACTGTGACGGAGACAGAAAACAATCTTAGTCCTTTCTTTGAAAAAATCAAAGGCTCAGCAGCAGTGCTTGTAGGGACGGCTTGACAGTTTAAACCATGTTAGTGTGTACTAGACGTAAATTAAATTTTTCGTTTCCGCCATGTTCCTAATTTCTTGTAGTAGAAAGGAAACCTTGGCTACCATTAGTATTTCACACCGCTTGGGATATAATTTTCGTGTCTCCTATAAGAGGTAAAATGAAGGAAACGCCACTGTGACACTCTAAAAACTAACTCATTGTAGAACGTAGGTCCATGATAAAGGCTTATTTCCTGCAAAAATTATAACGCCGTTTATATTATACAGGACGGGCCTGACCAGTAAAAACACCTGTCTGCATTTTACGCATGTATGTTTAACACCGAGTAAATAAACCTGATTCACAGCACGTACGTGACTGAGAATTCGAGGAAATGTTTCTCTCTCGAATGGCTTTTATTGTTTACGAAGTCGTTCGCGTGTCTTGTCTAACTACGCGATAGACAAGCCACGCGAACGACTTTGTAAACAATAAAAGCAATTCAAGAGAGAAAAATCTGCTCCCAGAGTAGAATTCGCGACACCACGTTTCTCATATGTAAATTTATGCCGGTATATTCATTATTTCGCGTAGGTTATTTTCAATCGTGTTTTCGTTTTTTTAGTCTTTGGCTATTACCTCTTGCACCTTTTTCGCGAGATTTTGCATGATCTGTAAACAAATTTAGTTGAACTCTGTGTAACTATACCTTGATCATAAGAGGAACTGTGCCCTCGATGTAATAAGAAAAATGAAAGTGACCGAGCGGAATCAAAAGAATAAAGAAAAGTGGAACACTGATTAGAGCGTCAACTCGTAAATCGAAAATTTGGAACTGAACACAGGAAAAAATAAGGGATTCCCATTTTGGATATTTTAGGGTATTTAAAGAATACCCAAAAAAATCCCAAATTTGGCAAAGCGAGGCAAGTCCCAGCCAGGGAATTCCCAACCAAGTTCCCTGATTGGGACTTGTCTCACTCTTCCAATAAATTTGGTATTTTTGTGGGTATTCTTTAAATACCCTAAAATATCCAAAAATGGGAATCTGTTATTTTTTCCAGTGGAAGTTATTGTCGGTTGCAAATCTGTGAATCCAATGACATGATCTAAAGTGAAACAGGCAAATTTGACCGTTCGGCCTTGCCTAGTCTATAGGCCTCATTATTCCGCGCGGCCAAAGCGTTTCGGGTCACGTTGTCCAAGCGAAAATGTGAGGCGTTTCCCGCCCGTTGGCCTCGGATACGTCACCGAAGTGAGTTGACCGAGAGGGACTGGGAAAACGCCATGCAGAGACTCGGCAACGTTAGGTCTTTGTAGCTACTTAAAAGTTTTTGAGACAATTGTATCGCCCGGCACCATGCTTTATAGGCAGACAATAATACACAGGGACAACCCTTAAGTTAAAATATAACATGTGATATAGGAAATAAATAGTTACCCTTGGAGCACTTAGAAGGAACGCGTGACGCACGCCTAAGAACAGGGCAGATAAATGTGTTTATCCGCCCTGAGAATGTCTGCGGGAGAGTCTAGGGAGCGCTCGGTGCCCTTG